GCCTTCGAGCCAGAGTCCCCGGCTGGTGACCAGAGTCTGTGTCTGCTGCAGGAGGCGAGGCCTGGTGGCTCTATGAGTACATCACCAGGCACTTCATCGCCACGGTTAGCTACGACTGCAAGTACCTCCAGAGCACCATTTCCTTCAGGATTGGGCCTGAGCACTTCACCTGCACAGGGAAGACTGTCATCTCACCAGGTAAAATTTTGGGGCCCAGCTTTGCTCTTCTCCTCACCTTATAGATGGATGGAACATTCTGCACTGGACCTGGGGACAGGAGGCCCAGGGTCTCAGGTGATGCCTTGTCTCTCCAGGCTTCACGGAGATCATGCCCTGGCAGAGCATACCCCTGGAGGAGAGCCTGCCTACCTGCCAGAGGGGTGACACCTTCCCCGTGGGTGAGATGAAGATGCTGGAGAAGCAGACAAGCCCACCCGACTACCTGACAGAGGCTGAGCTCATCACACTCATGGAGAAGCATGGCATTGGTAGGTGCACCTGCCAGCTGCCCTTGGGTTCCCATCCTGGGACTGGGCACCAAGAGGCAGTGCTTCCAGAGCTGCCCAGTGACCCTTCCGTGCCCAGCACCTGGTAACTGGGGCCCAGGGTGTGGCCAGCTGAGCCAGACAGGGTGGCAGTGGGCTGCACCTTGCCAAGGTGTCCACGTCAGGACTTGGCCTTGCCCGTAAAGGCCGAGATGTTCCCTCGTGTACACTAACACCCAGGATGCCAAATGATGCATTTATAGGAAAAACACAAAAGTCAGATCAGAGTCGTCCTGAAGGCTAACCGGGGATTGTCCTGGAATCAAGTGATGGGGAATTCGCAAGCGCTGCTTCCCTGTGAGGGACACAGAGAGCCCAGACAGGGTCCAAAGCTCCTGCACAATAACTAGAGGTTTCCAGTGAGAGTGGGCAGCCCAGGGCAGCTTGCCAACTCAGAAGTATAGTCGCTGATGCATGTACCTCACAGGCAAGATGGTATTGCCCAGTCCCCAGGCTCAGGGGCTGTGACCAATGTCCTCACTTTTGGGATTGGCCTCACTGTTGGAGCCTTCTCCCCAGGCACTGTTTGCTCTAATGGCTGCTGCATGGTCCCTGATGCACTGTCCTGGCCAACCAGCCCCCTCCTGGTTGACAGGCTCTGGTGGGCCATGGGACAGACCAGGTCACTCACTATACCTGGGCTCCGCTCCATCTCTGACAGTCCTACAGGTGACTGCCAGGGAGCAGCTCACCTGAGTCTGGGGTCCTGGTGACAGTAGTGACCTCAGCAAGAGAGCTGAGCCTGCTTCTGAGGACCTATGGCGGGTCCTGCCATGGTGGTCCTCAGCCTGCTCTGCAGTGCAGGCACTGCCCACTCGGGATCCTCTGCTCCTTCCTGTCGATGGGACACCCGTGGCTTCTGGCAGCCATACACTGGACAGCAGCCCAGACCCCATGATCAAATTGGATTTGCGGCAGTGGAGAGGGCTTTTGTGACCTGAATGAGACAACAGTCAGGGGCAGCCTATCACTAGGGGCCCCCAGTACTATATAAAGGGCCTGGCAAGAGCTACTGCTCAGACTGTGGTGAGAATGCATCAGGGAGCATACTGGGATCCCTGCTCAGCCCCCATGGGTGCCTAGCAGGCACAAGCAGCAGTAGGCACAGTACCACTCAGAGTCTGCCACATGAGATTCAGATCCCGTTCTCGGCCTCATCCTGCAAGTGTGGGACCTCAGCGGGCTTCTTAGCCTCCAAACACCAGCTAAGGAGGCTTCTTAGCACAAAGGAACCGTAATGACAGCATCTGGCAGTGCCAAATGACCTTGAAGTGCCTTGGGGCTGTCTGTTCCGGAACCAGGAGACTGCTCTGGAGACACATAACCAAGAAGTGGGCAAAATAGGATACGTTTTAGAGGGGCAATTTGTCAGTGAGCATGTTCAGGGGTCTGGGGCTCAGGGAGCTGGGACTCTGGCTCTGGAATGGGGTGGGTTCCACAGGATGGAGACAGGAGAGTCCAAGGAGGTCGCACTTACCAGCTGTGAGGGACAGGTTGAACAAGTTCTGTGACCCTGACAGAGTTCCTTAACCCCTCTGAGCCTCTGTCAAATAGGAATAAACACCCGGCACTGAGAGCATCATCCTCAGGTTCACAAGACGGTACATGAACAGCCCCTAGTATGGTGCCTGCATCGTGCTGGCTGGGAGCAGCACCAGAGGGGCCGAGAACCAGGTGCCCATGACAGGTGGGGGTGAAGGGGAGCCCACAGTCTGATGAGAAGTGTCAGGCAGGCCAAGGGACACCAGGGCCTTGTGCATTGCAGGGACAGATGCCAGTATTCCTGTGCATATAAATAACATCTGCCAGCGCAACTACGTTGTCGTGGAGAGCGGGCGCCGGCTCAAGCCCACCAACCTTGGCATTGTCCTGGTGCATGGCTACTACAAGATCGGTAAGGCCAGCTGACCAGCACTCCCTGCCACTGTCACCTCCAATAGGCCCTGCGGTGAGCCCCCAGCTCCCATTGCAAGGGTGCTCAGTGGCAACCCCAGGACCTGCCCCAGCAGAGGTTCGGCATGGTGTATCATGAACCAACAAGTGCAAAGGATCCAAAAGGGGAGGTGAGGGCTCTCCACACACCAGCTCTCTGTCAGGCCTGGGTCCTGTCTTCAGTGCTGTTTTGTCCCTTTGAGGTCCTGAGGAGCATAGACATGGCCCAAGGACTGCCAGGAGCCCATCTGTGATGCAGCCCTAGACACAGATGTCTCTGGCAGCTCCACACGGGATTTTCTGGATGGGAGATCGGAAAGGACTGGGTGTATGGGAGCCAGCCTAGTGCCTTCCAACTCTGGCCAGAGCTGCCCCAGTGACCAAAGCCCCTCGGGTACGAGTACTCACAGCAGCATCCCCGCGCCCATAGATGCGGAGCTGGTGCTTCCCACTATCCGCAGCGCCGTGGAGAAGCAGCTGAACCTGATTGCCCAGGGCAAGGCTGACTACCGCCAAGTCCTGGGCCACACCCTGGATGTCTTCAAGAGGAAGTTCCACTACTTTGTTGACTCCATCGCTGGTAAGGTCTGCCTCTACCCTGTCCTTAGGTCAGGACTGCCACCGCTCAGGGCGCCAGAGGCCCCCATGTGAGACCAGCCCCCAGATCTGGGCTTCAGGCTCCAGGCCTCTGTTGGGAGGATGGGGTGACGGTGGGTCATCACTGGGCCATTTACACTCAGGGCACACGGCTTGTCTGACAAATGGGGCTGCAGCTGTGTTCCCATTGCTGGCTCGGAAACCCCACCACCCTCAGGGTGAGGGATGTATTCACTCATAGATCTCCTACCTCGTGTGGTAGCCTCCCCTCCAGCCCTCCTGGTTACACTGTCCACCTGCCAGGGAGGTGGACTGCTGCATGCCATGACTCTCCTACACTGCTTGCTTTCAGGCATGGACGAATTGATGGAGGTGTCATTTTCACCTCTGGCGGCCACAGGCAAGCCCCTCTCCCGCTGTGGGAAGTGCCACCGGTTCATGAAGTACATCCAGGTAATTGGGGGTTGAAGGGCTAACACTGCCCCTTCTGACCCATTGAGCCTTTGTGCACAGATTCAGGCAAGTCTTATCACCTCTATAGGCTTCCACCTTGTCCTCAGTCATACAGGAATATATTCTTTGTCCCAGTTGTTATAGAAGAATAACAGAAGCCTGAAGCAGCCTTGCCAACAAACACCCAGTGTCCTCATGACCCCAGGAGCACATAAACTGTTAGGCCACTTAAACACATGTCGTCCACTGTTTCTAGCAGCACATTCCTTGCTATCGTGGGCGTTAACGTATATGCCAGGATTTTAGAATTGCCTTTCTTCATGCATGGAGCAAGTGTCCTAAGACTCATGGCAGGATCCTTACCTGAGAGGTCCTTGCCCGGCACCATATTACCTCTTATATGTTATATGTCATATATTATGTATTACATATTACATGTTACATATTCTTTACATGTATTAAATATGATGTACTGCATATTACAGATGTATTTACATATTCTGTACATATGTATGCATTGTATTAGTATTATACAATATGTATTACATATTACATATTATGTATTACATAGGACTTATTGTGTGTTATATATCACGTATTACATGTTATGTACTAAAACTTACATGTTATGTATTCTGTGTTATGGGGAGAATGAAGGCAGGCGAGTCAGGTGGCCCTAGCAACTCTGTGCCTCTCCCCTGGCATTGCTACAGGCCAAGCCAAGCCGCCTGCACTGCTCCCACTGTGATGAGACCTACACACTCCCCCAGAATGGCACCATCAAGCTCTACAAGGAACTCCGGTGCCCACTGGATGACTTCGAGCTGGTCCTGTGGTCATCAGGCTCTCGAGGCAAGAGCTACCCGCTGTGCCCCTATTGCTACAACCACCCGCCCTTCCGGGACATGAAGAAAGGTGAGCACCTTCTCCCTGGACTTCAGCTGTTCCATCCCAAGCTGGGCTGCCTTCATCCCCTCTGGGTATCTGTGGTCTCTGTTCAGCACTAGCCCCTGCCCAACACCACGCTGGACTCTGAAGGGATCCCTCCCCCAGCTCTTCCCGTGCTGCTGGTACTAACAAAGGAGACCCTGAGTGTACTTGGGCACTGCATAGGTGTCGGCTGGCCTGTCTGACACTTTGTCCGGTCATATTTGGACGGGTGACTATAGTCAGGTCACTCGGGATCTGGGCAATAGCTGTGCTACACTCCTTCCTGGGCTGGGGTGAGTGAGAGGGGCAGCAGCTGGGGGCGTGCCCTCAGCGTCCACTGCCATTCTCCGTCCTCCTGTTTATTACTGGAGAACGTATGAGGCTGAGAAACGTAACTAGGAGTTTGAAGAGGGCCAGGGCCCAAAGTGCTCACCTTCAGCTATGCTGTCTCCTTTGTATCCAGCAGAGCCCCTGTGGTGTCATCACCCCATATTACAAACAGGAACGAGATGCAGCAAGAGTGAGGCATCTGCCCACATTCCCAGGGGACCTGGGGAGCCCTCAAGGGTCTTGGTTTACCCCGCCTGATTCAAGCCTTTCCCTTGGGCAGATAGTCTGCACTGTGCTTCCAGGGGCATTGAGGTCCATCCCTGCCCCGCAGCAGCTTCCAGGGTAGCCAGTGGCCAATGTGGCCCACTGGAATGAGGGCCACACAGAGCTGCCTATAACAAGCTGTGGAAGCAAAGTGAAGGCCTTATGGACTTGGCTGGAGGCCACCAAGAAGGCCTTCTGGAAATGATGTGCGCTCAGGGAGAGGGTGCCTCAAAGCATGAGGAGATTTCAGATGAGCAGAGAATGTGGGGCTCCAGAGCCAAGGGCCAATGCACACAAAGCAGAGGAGCACTTTCTGCTGGGACGAGGGAGGCACTGGAAGAGGCCCCAGGAGTGGGGTGGAAGATGCTGCACTGGGTGGGTGGGACAGGTGTGCCTCATGGGTTGCCCCCCCCTTACCAGGTATGGGCTGCAACGAGTGCACGCACCCCACCTGCCAGCACTCGCTGAGCATGCTGGGCATCGGTCAGTGTGTGGAATGCGAGAATGGGGTGCTGGTGCTGGACCCCACCTCGGGCCCCAAGTGGAAGATGGCCTGTAACAAGTGCAACGTGGTGGCACACTGCTTCGAGAATGCCCATCGTGTGCGGGTGTCCTCTGAGACCTGCAGCTCCTGTGAGGCTGCCCTGCTCGATGTGGACTTCAACAAGGCCAAGTCCCCACTCCCAGGTGACGAGACGCAGCACACGGGCTGTGTCTTTTGTGACCCTGTCTTCCAGGAGCTGGTGGAGCTGAAGCACGCAGCCTCCTGCCACCCCATGCACCGCAATGGGCCGGGGAGGCGGCAGGGCCGAGGGCGGGCCCGGGGCCGGCGGCCTGCAGGGAAGCCCAATGCCAGGCGGCCGAAGGACAAAATGTCAGCGCTGGCTGCCTACTTTGTATGATGGCCCTGCCATCCTCACCTTGGCTCCAGGTGGTTGTCCTTTGGGCCATGGAAATCATTAAAACATATTTTGTCTCCTCCAGAGCAAATATCTGGGGACCTTTTGCTGGTGTCAGAGGGTTACTGTGTCCTCCCCACCCATTTCCTCATTGCACCTCCCGTCCCTATCTCCCTACATCTCCCTTCATTCTACACACACCTAAATGCCTGCTCTCCCCACACCCCAGTGGTGCCTGCAGGGAGCCCACCAAGTGTGAAAGTGGTAGCTGTGTCACCCCAGGCAGATGTCACAGGAGGGAGGCCTGGTGGAGGGAGTGGGGCTGAGAGAAGTGCTTTCTGTCCCCGGCGCTCACTGCAGCTCACCGTTCAGGGTCAGACCCCACACTCCCCACTCAGCGTCTCTGAGCAGGTCCGCGCCACTGGCAGCCTCCCGGGGCCTGGTCTGATTCTCGTTCCCAGACAAGCCCTTATCGTCTCATACAGAGACAGCCCATACCTTACAGCAGGGAGCTTAACGAGGGTGCCATAGTAAGCCATTCACATGCCAGGTTTAGAAAATAGCCTTTCAGCCACAGCAGCCTGTGGGGTGGGGTGCAAGCCATGGCTGCCTGCCCACCTGTCCTTCCTGAATTCTAGGCTCCGGCCTGGAGGAGCATCCACCTTAGGCAGCCATATGTTGTCTGAGCTTTGGAAACTCCACCCCCAGCCAGGTGGCAACAGGAGCTCAGTAAAGCAGCTTTCCAGGCTATTCAGTGGAACACTTGTACGAGGAGCAGATCAGAGATGTTGTGCACAGGGACCCCCTATCTTGACAATAGATTCACAGTGTGCACTAGAACATAGAAGGCTCTGAGAAGAGCCGCCATCAATAAACCCGTGGCTTCACCTGGCATTCCACGTAGGCGCTGCACCCACCAGGCTCCCACTTCCTGGAGGCCCCAATGAGCCAACCGATGTTCCCTAAACACGGTTTGGGAAACTTCTCTGGAAGCTTTTAAAAGGCTTCTCCTGAGAACAGGCTCCCTGGGGAGCTGTGCTGCAGCAGCTTGGAAGATGTCTCAGAGGAGGGGGCATTCTCAGGTTCATGCTCCTTTCCCACTCCCTGCCTGCTCTGGTCAGATTCTGGGACACTGACAAAGCCACATCTGGTAGTGGGTCAGGTCCGAGGCACGGGGTCACCACGATGGCCCAATCACATTGAGCAAACCCAGAGCATTCTCACCTTATGTTCTAGGACCTCTCCAGTGAGGCAGCAAAGGTAGAGGCTCAGTTTGGGCTTTGAGGGCAGAGACTACATTTCTTACCAGGGTTCTGCACTGTGTTCTCAGCCTCAAACAAGGCTAATAAAGGATTCATTTCTTTTTTTCTGCAATTGTCCTTTGTTCATGAATCTTAAGGCTCTTGGCTTTCAAAGCTGAACTCTGTGTTCTGGGTCCCTTCACTTCATCTATCCAACTGCATCCAAATGCCGCTGTTACTTGCAACATAGCTACAAGGGCAAGGAAGAGTAGAGGCCCACTTTAAGCAGAACTGTCTGCTGTGCTCCTTAGCACTGCACCTTCTGACCTTGAGGCAGATGAGGTGAATGGCTGCAGGCTGGCCTGCTCTGAGGACGGCACAGGGCAGGACCACTGCAGACCAGACCTCCCATCTTTGCAAATGGCTCACAGCAACAAGGCCTGATTGTCCCGCTGAATTGGCTGGACATACTGTTGTCCTTGACAAACCCCATCCCTATCACCTTGAGACCCTGGCACACATTGATACTGGGTGTCCCAGGTGTGTTTGCTCAGATGAGTGTAGCAGCCCTTTCCAGGGCTGCTGAACAGAAGGTACCACAGACCTGCAGATATGAACCCATTCCCCTCTCCACCTGCATGGGTCAGGTTCTTGAAGACCTGAAGATACCAGTAGCCAAGGGAGATCCCAGGGCCCCCTTTAGAAAGGCAGCACTGCTATAGACAGGAAGCTAGGTGGATGCCCCATTGTAAGTGGCCTGGAAAGTCAGAGGCGAGGGTTCGCACTTCCTTTCCAAGGTCACAGCATCAATGATGGTTTGAAAGCTCAAGACCAATATGATACCCTCTCTATGATGAGTCAGCAATGTGTGAAGGCATGGGGACAGGAAGAGCTGAGGAGGGAGGTGTTATAACCGTCTGCATGGTGGGGGAGCAGAGGGCTCAGAGAGGGGTTCCAAAACAGGAGACATTTGGGGACCAGGAGAGAGTTCAGTCGGAGGGGGCAGAGATGGGAGGAAAACCCAGGCTGAGCTCTTTGGGAGCCCTTGGTGCTCCTCCACCTCGACGGGGGCACAGCCTTGTGACAGAAGCAGAGTCTCTAGCCGGGCGACATTAAGAAATTCCTTTTACAGGAGTGAAAGCCAAAGCCAGGCTGAGACATGATAGAATGCAGACAGGGAAGGGTTGACAGAAGCCACAGGACACTAGTAATCTCACAGGCATGTCCTTGGCCCAGTGCCCATGAGAGACAAGCTCCTGGCCAAGTAGAAGTACCTCACTTTGCCGTCATTTCCTTGAATGGAATCAGTGCTCCACAAAATGTGGGCCCCAGCTGAGGAAGCCTGAGCTCTCACGGACACTCCACTTTACAGTGTGGGAAGTCCTGTCTCATGCACCACCTCATCTTCACTGTGATTCTCAAACTTCACCCACGGTCATTCTGATACAGGTGGTCCCAGACACACTTTGAAAAATACTGACACAGCTTCTCACAACAATCCTATGAGATAGATCGGTTACTACTGTCACCATTTTCCAGGTAGGGAGACTGAGGCTTGCAGGGGCTAAAGAACTTCTCCAAAGTCATAGGTTATAAGAAGTAGCCTCAGGCCTTGCTCGGATCACCACACTGACAAGGGGTTTCGGGATCTAGGAAGGCATGAGTAGGAGAATGAGATGAGTCACCACCCTTTCCACCCTGCTTTCTCTGCCCAGACACCCCCTGCTTTCCAGACCCACTCCCACCGCTAATGTGTGTTTTTTGTTTTTTGTTTTTTTGTATTCAGGCAACTGCTAGTTCTCCAGGTTCCCAAACCCTCCTGTTAGTGAAGCACCTCAGAGCCTTAATTCCTAGGAAGGAAGGACACAGGTGGGCAGGGCCACATAGGACTTTTGAGGGTTCCTTCCTCCATAAAATAGATTTTTTAAAATTATACTTTACAACTACACTGATATAAAGATAAGTATACTAATATTATACATGAAAACATTTTCTTTGACCTAAAAGTTCATTTATTTTTTCTGACATTAAAAGAAAACATTTTTGTGGGCCTCTATGGTGGCAGAAAAATGGTCACCAAAGATGTCTACATCCTCCTGGCCCCTGTGCCAACACTGGATTACTTTGCAAAGGGTAATCGGGGCTGCAGATGGAATTAAGATCGCTCATCATCGGAATTTGAAATATGGAGATTATCCTGAATTATCTGAATCATCCAATGTCATCACAAGAGTCTTTATGTTTCTGGCTTTGAAGATGGAAAGGGCCACAAGCAAGGAGTGGGGCAGTCTTTAGAACCTGGAAAAGACAAGGGAACAGATTCCTGCTAGAGGCCCCAGAAAGGAACACACCTGCTGACACCTTGAATTTAGTCCATTGAGACCTTGGGGACTCACAACTATTAATAAATTTGTGTAAGTATATAGTCCCTAAAAGTATGGTGGCCCTGGCACTGTGCCTCCTTGCCTGATGGGTGGTGAGACCTTGGCATTCTGGGTGTGCATCCCTGCTCTGCCATTTAACAGTTGACTGCACAAGTTGCTTAATTTCTGGGCGCTGCTAGATGGGGGATTGCTTTCCCCCATCTACCCACCCACCCGAGGCTGAGAAATGAAGCAAGTCGCGGGTGAGCGGCTCCAGACCCAGGATGAAGGCCGCGTGTGAGCCGTGACCCTCCAGGTTAAGCGCAGCTCTCTCCGCCACCTGAAAGAGTCTCAGTCACCAGTCGGGAGGCCGCCAGGGGGCAACAGAAGCCCGACCGCACCCGACAGGAGCCCGGCTGCGCCTGCGCGGAGCCCGCGGAGGCTGGGGACGGGAAGTGGGCGGGGCCGGCCAGGAGCCGCTCACCCCGAGCCAAGCGGCAGAGTGGCAGGTGAGGCCCTCCGGGACCTGGTGGTGAGGAAGCCCGAGCAGCGGGACCGGAGAACGGACGGCGCCGGGGTGAAGCTCAGGTGAAGGCCCAAAGTGTGCAGGGGTGAAACGGGGCGCTGAGGATCCGGAGAGGGTGTAATATGTGGGCTGAGGAGGCAGGGAGGCCGAGGTGCGGCTACTCAAGGGGTTCGGGGGCCGAGTGGGAGCTGAATAACGGGGAGAGAACCTAGGGACATGAGGAACCTGATACTGGGATTTGGGGGGCTGGAGAGCCATGGGTGTAGAACTAGGGGGCCGTTGGCCCGGCGGGGGTGTGGCCCGGCCAAGGCCAGATGCGGACCGAGGGTTCTGTGAAGTGGAATAGGGTGCTGAGGGGTGACGGGCCCCCATTTGCTCCAGGTTTGGCCCCTCCCCATCCCATCCCCAGGGGCATCTGGCAGGGCCCACTGCCTGACCCCTACCCCACCAGCCTCTGCGCCTTTGCAGGACTGCCCGAGTGCCCCCACCCCATGGCCTGCTTCCACCCTGAAGAATACTTAAGGTGAGAGTTTTAAAGCAAGTGCTTGGGCCGCAGCAGCTTTAGCAGGACATGTATGAGATAGAAACTCAGGCAGGAAGGCCATGGGCTACACCACTTGCTTGATTGAGCTGTGCGACCTCAGGCAAGACCCTTAACCTCTGTGGAATAGAGAGAAATGGCACCTTGAGTGTAGGGATTTTAAAGCAGGGCCTAGCACATAGTGGGGCCTGGTGGCTGGTGATGGACTCCTCCCTTGAAGCTTTCCACCCAGCCGGACATATGTCCTGGGTGACATGCCCTCATGGCATTCCCTGGGGCAAGTTCTGTGGGCTGAGCTATGCTCCCATGGTGGGAGATAGATAGACTCTGAAATCTGCACTCTGAGGTCATCTCCAGCTCACTTCTGGCCTTTATGTTCATATCCAGCCTGTTGTCAGATTTCACTCTTTTTCTCCTGCAACTGAGGTAGAACTGACAAAGGCATCCCAAGATCCTGTTTGAGTCCGACTTTGCCATTTCCTACCTTTGTGACGTTAGGCAGGTTGCTTACTGTCCCCAAGCCTAGTTCTTCATCTGCAGTGTGACCTAGTAGCACGTAGTAGTGAGAGGTAAACAAAAGGAATACCACTTTGAAAGCTGAAAACCTCCACACAAGTGCATTTGCAGAATTCCTTTGAGATATCACCTAAAGCCAACCCTGTCTTTAAAACCTTTCTCTGCTGTCCAGTGTGCTCCACAGAGTGTCTTAGCTTCCTCATTCAAGGTCCAGTCCTGGTGGTGGGAGGAAGCTGGCCCCTTCCCTGTGCCATCACACTTGCCAGCTGCCTTGCACAAAGGCTTGTGTTATACCTGTGAGGACAGGGATAGGCTCCCTGACCTCAGGGAACTTATAATCTAGTGAGAAAGTCAAGCTTGCAAAAAGTGGTAATTGTACAACAATATGACTGTGCTTAATGCCAGAGAACTGTACACTTAAAAATGGGTGGAATGATAAATTGTATGTTACATATATTTTACCATACATTTTTTAAAAGAAAAAAATACATATGTAGAAAGAGAACTGGATGGATTTACAAACTCTTTCCAGTGCTTATTCACATATAACTAAGATTCTCCATTTGT